TATCACCTTCTCAAAGTTTTTCTTTCTTGATTTGAAAAAAAAAAATTTGTATTGGGAATCTTTTTTACAGGCAATTATTTTTATAATTTTGTTGTTATCTTGCCTTGTTGTTAATAATGCACATAAATGGAAAATTTTGTGCAAGTCTTGTAAAATTTGTACTTGTTATATTGTTTTGTATCAGTTCAATAAATGTTAGTGCCTTTCAAATTTCATGAGGTAGTTGTCAAGTCTTATTTGTTATTTTTTTGTGCCTTTTTAATATTTGGGATAAGAGAGGTTACATTCTTTTTTCTCCCATTCCCTCCCAGAAAAATATTCTTTTATTTTGCAGAAGATATTGGTCATTGTAAAATTAATAAAATACATTTTATAATTCATATAAAATGCAAATTTTATTGAAACCTAATTTTATATACAATAATCATCATAATAATATCATATTAGAAAAATATCTTTAATCATTTCAAACTTGGGTAAAATAGAAATAAACATTGCCAATGTAATAAAATAATAACAAAAGCATTATTAGTTTTACTTCTTTTATCACCAGAAATAAATTTATATTTTCAACCATTTTTATTTTTCAAATTTTTAAGAAATTTTAAAAAAAAGAATTAATTCACCTATAAATCTCATAGCTCCACAACAGAAATTTTGAAGCAAGTTTTTAATAAAAGTGATAAATTTTAAATATCTAATATCAAACTTCAATTTAAATTAATAGATTAATTTTTAAAACAATTTTGAATATTCTAATCTTGAAGTTGAATTTCCAAAAACTTATGGAATATTTATAGATCTGATATTCAACAATGGGAATATTAAACCCATAATAAAAATAATTTTTATAATTACTCTCCTATTGTCTTGTTGGGTGTGTCCTATTAAACACTCTGGTGATAATAATTCATACCACCTTGTATAAATAAACAATTCAACAAGAAAATTTGAGCATTATTGAAAAATACCTAAATTCACATTAGTGACGTCATAACAGATCCTTCCATCTTATGTAAATCTGAAGATATGTATGCAATCTATTGATGTGTTAATTGTTGTATTTGATGTTTGTTATATCTTGTCTCTTTTGATTAGTTGTAATCCTTCATAGTTTGTAAAAGTTATTTTTTAGAGTTTGTAAAGGTTATTCCTTCATAGTTTGTAACAGTTATTTTTTAAGAGTTTGTAAAAGTTATTCCTTCATAGTTTGTAAAAGTTATTTTTTTAAAGTTTCTAAAGGTTATTCCTTCATAGTTTGTAAAAGTTATTCCTTCATAGTTTGCAAAAGTTATTTTTTAGAATTTGTAAAGGTTATTCCGTCATAGTTTGTAAAAGTTATTTTTTTAGAGTTTGTAAAGTTTATTCCTCCATAGTTTGTAAAAGTTATTTCTCCAGGATTTGTTAAATATTAAAAAGTAAGAAAGAAAGGGTCATTTGTTTTTAAGGTTGTTTGCATTGTTGGCATTGATTCTAGTATTTCAAGGTCCTATGAATAACAATGCAGTATTCATTACAGTTTCCATTTTTTAACTCAATGACAAAATTTCACCTGTCACCATGTCAGCAGAAAATATTTTTGAAAAAGTCAATAAAGCTCATGTTATTTTGTATGTTTAATTATTTACTTTATTTCTGTTAGAAAAAAGAGCAAAGGAAGGTGAGAAAAAAGGAATGACTATTGATTATAAGAAGATGTAGTGCATGGTAGTGAGCAAAAAGTGATAGATGAGAGTTATATATCAAGGATGTCAAAATTAAGCAAGTGCAGAAATTCAACTACCTGAGTAGTATAATAACAGATGATGGAATGTATGACATGAAATTTCTGTGGTGACAAAGGAAAAAACCAAGTCTTACTTTGAAAAAGAATTTGCTTTCTCTGTACTTTTTGTTGAAAAAAGAAATCAAAATCATGTCTACTTTAGTAAGGCCTTGAAATATGGTAATTTTTGCACTTGCCTACCAGTCACAGCCTTTCTTACCACAATAAGATGATGTTACTTTGAATGACAACAGTATTCTGTTCTTTGTAGGTGAAGTAGGCAGCTGTATATTGTGAGTCATGAATATGGATTTTTGACCCCTTTGATTTATGCCTCCAGTATTTTTGAGTACTTGAATTTGCAAAACTGATTTATAACCTTTGGAATTGCAACCCTGGATTTCTGACTTTGGATCTGAAACCCTCTATTGCTATTTTTCCATAATTTCAAAGTCACATAGAAAAGCAAAATATACTTTTCAGAAGCTGAACATGATAGTAATGTATCCCAAAAATAACATTAAAAATGGAGAAAAAAAATGCTAGAGTGGTATATAATGTCTACACTCCTATACAGTAGTGAAACCTGGACAATTTAATAAAAATGATAGAAAAGACTTGAAATGTTGAGAATACCATAGACAAAGTATGGGATAAATGATGAAGTTCTAAGGAGAATATGAACTACAAAGAAACTGACTGATTCATTGATTGACTGATTTGTTTTTTACAGCTTATCAACCTTATTTAAAAGTCAGAAAATATTTTTAGATTGTAAGAATTTTCTGGAGATAATAATGATTTACTGATACAAGTCTTATTAATTAACCTGTGTCTGGGGGGAAGAGTTGGATTCATACCTTTCCCATGGGTATTTGTGCATAATTGAATATAATTAGCATGATTAGAATTGGAACTCAGCTCTCCGGCTTACAATTCTGAGCCTTTATCCATTAGTAACCAACAGTTACATCTAGCCATTTAAACTGTAAGATGATAAAACCTTGCTGCCAATCTAGTACTGTGCTTAAATTCATAAAGACTATAAGGAAAATTTATCAGAACAATTACCATAAAAGTATTTATAGAGAAGACACAGAGAAGTTATATTATGGCACTGGAAAAGTGACTGAAGCTGAGATGCCAGATCAGGACCAATAATATTGCAGATTCTTCTTTGGATTTTATCAATCTCTAAATATATAGCAGAAGTACCAGACTATAGCAGTAATATTTAAAGCATGAACAAATGGTAGACTTATAAATATATAAGATAGATTCTGGTGAGAAAAATTGTCTAGCACAGTGAACCAACTTTCTTAGCAGCAGACATATAGAATTCATTATAAAATATTGTGCACATAGAGGATATTAAGTGTGTTCTATTTATTAAATTATTTATGATGGCTCCATTTCTTATTTTGGCATTTGTAGTTCAGTAGGTATCAATTTCAGTTGGTTGAATTTTTATAGATGGAGGCTTTAAAATTTTCTTTATTTGAATCAACTTAACAATAACCAGAAACTAGATGAAAAGGCCATGTGTCTAGGGGTGTGTCTAGAAACTAGATTCTAAACCATGTGTCTTTTGGACGATCAGTCAGTTAAGGGCCATACATGATACATGTTTGGGCAATCATGTCTCTTTCAATTCAACAAAATTGTGTACAAAATATTTAGATTTCAGCATTAAATAACCCATAAGGGTTGATATGCCACTAAACAAAAATAACCGAACCAATCAAGAGCCCTCTGCAGAAGCTAGCTTAAATGCTGCCTAATAGGGTGGATTTTAAGCTAGTATATATTATTTATCATACTAGATATAATACATACATTATATTATATATTATATACATTTTATTATATATTATATATTATCATGACTGACAAGGCAGGAGATTTTCCTACAATAGGTTGCCATTTCTTTCTATAGTAGACCAGTTGCTAACTAAGTCTGTCCTGCTATTCAACCCATAGCTGGGAGAAGAGGTGTATTTATACCTTTCCCAAAGGTATTTATGTGTAAGTGAATCTAACAAACCTGACAGGAATTCAAACTCAGCTCTCTGATTTCTTATTCCAAGCTGTTATCTATTACACCACATTGTATATCGTTTCTTGGACAATAGACAATGAAGTTTTGATCTTTAAGTCTAATGTCTGTGGTGTAATTTATAAGTGTCCTGACTCAGATGGTGCAATTTCTTTTTATAATTCACCTAATGCAAGGCACAAGTGTCACTGAAAGTAGAGGGCTACTGAATGAAGTGTGTAAGGAGGTAGCAAGAAGTGAAGATTGTGAGGGTATTTTAGACAGATAAAAATTGACCCTATACTTGAAGAAGTTAAACTTGTAGTGTTTAGGGAAGCATCCATATGCGAGCCTGTCCCACAAAGCAGTGTTTCTTGGATAGAAACTTTTGGAATGGTATGTCTTTCTTATCAAAGGAACGCATAGAGAATAAGAGTGATTCAACACTGTGGATGTAATAAAGCAGGTCTTGGCAGTAAAGGTCTGACCTAGTGGGACTAAATAACAGAGCTCATCTGAACATTTGCCATGTAAGTAGCAATAGAATAGGCTTGCAACATTGTGTGTAGGGAAAAAGACTGTAGCACGGAAAATACCATTGCCCACAAGGTCGTATAAACAATTTTGAACATTTTCAAGTTTAGAAAGTGAGGATTGGGCACCTTCAGTTTAGATATGGCTGCAATACTCCATTTTTGCTCTGATTTGACTCCTGTAAAGATAAAGAATGGCAGAAGGAGTTATTAGTGATTTCTTTATGATTATCCTTCCTTACTTAATTAGAAACTCTCAGATGGTACTGATTTCTATGCTAGGTCTACTGATGAAGTTATTAGTGTCGTTTCTTTCAGTTGTCTCATCCTCTAGTGTTGTTCTGCATTATCTCTTCTAAGATTTCATCAAAGTTACAATGTTACATTTATAATGAAGCACACCAAAAGCATAAATCTAATCATTCAATCAAATCAATTGAACAATTGTTTATCTTAGAATTTCTCATAAACCCAACATATAAAGAAACTGTTGCTGACTACAAACTTTATAATGATGAGAACCTAACATTCTATTATTATTCATTATCTATACAAATTATTCATTATTGATTTTCATTATTCATTATCCATTATCTATAGAAATGATATCAACTTACCTTTATTTGCCAACCACTGTCCTAAACAAAAGTGGCTTACAGCCATCATATGTTGAAACACTGGTTCTTGTACAATCACAAGAGTTAAACAACATTGAGCCTGATCAGTACCTAGATGGGTGACCACTTGGGAATACCAAGTACTGTAAACTTGGATGTGTGGTTGGTGTAATGGATAGTGGCTTGGAATTGGCAGTAGGAGAGCTGAGTTCCACTTCCACTTGGGTTTGTTATATTCACTTACATGCAAATACCCTTGAGAAAAGTATGCATATACCTCTCCCCCAGATATGGGTTAATTAGTAGGGCCTGTATCAGTAAATCCTTATTATCACCCCCAAATTCTTACAATCTAAAAATATTTTCTGTCTTTAAATAACCTGCAAAGGGTTGATAAACTGTAAAATAACAAATCAATTAGCTAAACAAAAGTAGTAGACATTGATCATTAGAAAGATGAATAAACATAGGTTCTTCTAAATTTTTTCAGGCCTAAACAGTAAATGCTCTCTATTAAAAACTTACCACTAACCAGTAAAATGCGGAGTAATTTTATATATTATTGATGGAATTACATTTCAGTCATCACACTACATGAGAAGCAATATATTGTTTAGTATCTAATCATATGATAATGATAGACAAGACAGGCCACATGTTGTTTAGTATCCCATCATATCAGTGTTTCTCAACTGGTGTGCCCAGCAACACTAATGTGCTCTGAAAAGTAGCCAGGTGTACCCCAGGTTAACTGAAGAGTAATTTATGAATTATTTTTATATTTAAAAAAAATCTTTATCTTTATTTTTAAAAAGTTATAGGCATCAAGTATATGGCTTCCATGTCTAAGTCAAGTCTTTGTTATTTCCTTTTGCCTTCCTCAAGGGATTTAAATCTGTCGTTATCAGCTTCTCTAAAAAAATAAAAAAAATTTTCATAAATCTTTTTGAATGAAAACTTTATCACTAATCTGCTTTTGAAATGTTAATAAGAGTATATTTATCACATATAAGGCTGAACATTGAAAAATTGCCAAAGCACATCAGACAAAGGTTTCACACAAGCAAATTTAAATATACAATGTAAGATCTTAAAAATAAATGCTTATTTCAGGAGACTTCTTTATTATTTTCCTATTTGCAAATTGCTTGATTAATTTTCTTTATTAAAATTTAAAATGTTCCCTAGAGTTTTAGTTATTCTACAAGTGCACCCTGAATTAAAAATGGTTGAGAAACATTGCATCATATGATAATGTTAGATGAGACAGTCCACATCTTGTTTAGTATCCCATCATATGATAATAATCATGTGCTGAGCACACCCATCTGCCAGAACAACTAGCAATTCCCTATTACAGACACTTACTCAATCCACAGACTCTACCCATGGTTTATACTGCAACTAAACTGAGTGGACTTTAGTTATAGTTTCTGGAAGAAACAGATAATCTGGCCTGATCAATTTTTTTAACAAGGCCTGTTTGCTCAAACCCTCAGCCATGATGACTTGTGACTGAGCTAACACAACCGTTGACAAATTCCAAATGGTTCTGTCTACCAAATTTCACTCACAAGGCTTGGATTAACCTATTTTAAGGCACTTTTTAAAGGTGCTATGTGCTGGGATTGCCTCCCAGCTTGATATTGCCAAGAAGTCACCTCTCTGACAAATTGACCATGTTGAGATTCAAACCCAGGGCTCATATCCAAAAAAACAGAATTCTAACCATTCATCCAAGTACCAATACATAAATGGTATAATAAATAATATAATCTATATAATATATAATATAATGTATGTATTATATCTAGTATGATAAATAATATATGCTAGCTTAAAATCCACCCTAATGGGCAGCATTTAAGCTAGCTCCTGCAGAGAGCTCTTGATTGGGCCTTCATCACAATACCTAGTGAGGGATAGATGCAATAAGCAACAATAAACTACAAAAGATCTCAAAATTCATCACTGCATTTAAGTATTGCATTAATATTTAAACTTGCCTTTTAAAAGTTCAATGATAATTTTTCTGCTGCCATTTAATTTAAAGACAATTTGATATACATAGGTCCTTACTTTCTGTACAAACAATTATTTTGATTTCATGGGTGACTTTTGGTGGATTTCACAATTAATTTCAATTATTCCTAAATTTACTTCCAAGTTATAAAATTGTTATTGTACAAAAAAATTTGTTGCAAAAAATCATGGAAAAAAAAAAATAATCACTGAAAACAATAACAGTAATGAAAACTTGGGAATCCAAAATTTCAGGATTGTAGGTTTGGATCCAGCCCAGAATGTTTTTAATTTGCTCACAGAATTGGCCTGATTCCAAAATGGTATGATATGTTGGGCTATGGCCTCTAGGAGTAAAGTTAAAAAAGTGTGACACAATGACACACTGACATTCGCATTTATTATATGTATGAGTGGATGTTAAAATGTTCTCAGCCAGGTCTTCTTCTATGTGGCATGTCCCTTCAAGACATAGGCAATCATTGTTTGCCACAACTTCCTGTTCCTTGTGGCTCTTAGCAGTTTTTCTCTCTTTGCTAAGGCTCTACCTGCCTCCTCTCTGTTCTATCATCCATTCACACAAGCTCATCAGGTAAGTGGTTCACTGCCTTCCACTATCTCACTTGTTAAGTTTTCCAAGCACTCCTTCCTTACTATGTTTCCAAGGAATTTCAGCTATCTTTTCCTGATTCTGAGTATAAGTGTTCTTTCCATTGCCATTTTCTCAAAGACTTCCTTGTTGCTTACTCGTTCCAAGGGCAATGCTCAAAATCATATTCTGATGTTTGGTCATTAAAATTTTGATTTTAAAAAATCGGTCAGACTAAAAATTGTCTCTGTTATAATAAATATTATATATTCTATAATAAATATTATATTTGTTGTGTCAAAAAGTGCCCAGCAACCATTGAATACATAGCAGAAAACATTGTGTCAACTTAATATATAATGTATAATGTATATATGACGTATGTTTTATCTATATTATTATTTTCTTTGTGTAGTAGGTGCATGGCTGAATAGTTAGAGCGTTAGCATTTTAACCATGAGACACAGGTTTGAATTTCACCATGGCTGATTAGTCAAGGAGGTGACTTTTTGATAATATCACTCTCAAGAGATACAGCTCTATTGGGAAATGTCTTCAAAGCATACTTAAGCTTTGCAAAGAAAATTGGGTAGACAAACTTTGTAAATCATTGATGGTTGTGTAAACAAGAAAACACGTCATCACCTCATTGACAAATAGAAGTTCTTTAGCCTTGGCTGACAATCTATCAAGATATGGTAAATTAATAAAAATATTAATTACATTGCAGCCTGGTTATTCACAAGGACTTATCAGTTTGAAAAATACTGAATATCTAAAGTTGTTAAAAAAAAAAAGAATTCATATGTGTTCTCAAAATGCCATAGGCAAAAAAATTTTTATTATTATTCTTTGTTTATATATACACTCATTACATTTTCCACCGAGGATCATAGTGTAGTATATGTATCTGATTCCTGGTCACTAGGATCTATATTAATATTCTGCTTGCTTGTCAATATTACTTTTATGTTTTTCTACCTAAGATCAGAGTGTAGTATATGCTTCTCTACCCAGGATCAGAGTATAGTATCTTCTTGAAACTTGTCTCTTCTAAGCTGGAATCAAATATGCTTTCTGACTAAATAATAATATTAAACAGGAAGGAATGGAACAAAGCAACAGTGAGGGGAGAGGAAAAATATAGGTGTGAAGGAGAAAAGGTAGGAGTTAATAAAACCAGAGAAAAACAAAAAAGAGAACCTGGTGAAAGAATATATATATATATATATATATATATATATATATATATATATATATATATATATATATATATGTATGCATGTATGTATGTATGTATGTATGTATGTATGTATATAATGGATTCTCCTGTCAGTTTTGACATATGAGGATCTGACAACTTAACCAATTGATTCAGTTATGAATTTTGTGCGATAATCTTAAGTGGCACTTAAGACCCGCAAGTGATTTGCAAAGGCTGCTGCATATGGAGCAAGATTGAGGATTGTGGGATGAGGTCACTGTTAGATTGGCTGACCTTTTAGATCTTGCTCTCACTTCTTGAAGACAATTCAGACTAGCAGATTGAAAAGTGCTGAGTCCACTAAAACACATTGATCTCTAATCTACCTGCTCCAAGGTTAAGCACTCGAGGGTGTTATGAGGTATATTGACAGCTGACAAGTTGCTCTTCAGGTTGTCTTTGTATCTAAGCTATCTTTGTATTTCTGTAGCCTTGATCTAACTGGCTGTACATTAGGATCTTGGGTATCCTGTCATCAGACATTCTCAAGACATGACCAATCCACTGCAACTGAGACTGTAAGAGGTAAGCCTCAATTCCTCCAATATTACACCTCTTAAACAGGTCTACATTGTATGTCCTGTCTTGAAGGCTAACACCACAGATGGCATGCAGACAGTTCTTATGGAAAACATCCAGCTGGCATATATGGTACCTGTATGTATATATATATATATATATATATATAGGGAGATGAGAAAAGGATGAAAGCAAAAAAAAGACAGAGAGTGACAGGCTTGTTGGCTGAATATCAAGAGACAATGCAAAAAAGATTTAAAGTCAAGTAAATATACAAAGGTGTGAAAATTATAATGCATTAAGATTCATTATGGAGAGACAGAGCAAAAGAAAAACAAAAGAGAGCATGCAGTAGAAAATATTTATGCATTTCATATTCCTTGTCACATATGAAAATGATCCATGTTTGTATAACATTTTAGCTAGAAACATGGATGGACAATAAAGATTGGATGGGATAAGGGAGAAAATGAGAAGATACAGGCAAAGGGTAAGAGAAGAGCAGAGTCATGACGTTATGGCATTTAAAGTTTTTCTTTGTTGGAGTGTATTATACATGTGTGAGTTTTCATATGTAAACAAAGAAGCATACAAAAACCAGTTTTCTACTACGGACCATTTATTTTCTTTTTATTTATATATATATTTACTTTTAGCAACATAGACCTTGTGCCTGATGAGCTGTAATTCAGCGAAACTTAGGTCGCACACCAAAACGTAGGTACTAGTATATGTACTAATTAATATATATCTTT